AAGGTTGGTCAGATCGGGAACGTTAGAGGTTCCGTCTAGGGGGACGTGTTACAAGGGGTAGGGTTAGCATTACTGATGGCTCAAGATTGCAGTGAAACAGAGAGTAGGTGAAGAATCGTACAGTCGCAAGAGTTGGTCAAATATTTAGCTGACTGACAATTTAGTGCAAGTGGAAAACAAAGCGAAACTTCTGAGTCCTATATAATTTGTATTTGTGTTGATGGCTTTGGTGTAAAAACTTGATGGTTCAAAGGTAGATGGCTGGAAATACAACTCTAATGCGTATAACCCCAGCTAGTGCTGGGGATGTGTATTTGGGAGAATGCATATGACAACCAGATCGATGATATCATTGCATTTGTATTGGTTTATGAGAAACCCTGTTGCATCGTGCATAATCACCGATAATCTTACTATTGGGAAGAATACTGGACAACGTGATTGTTGCACTCCATTTGGATGGAGAGGGAACAAAAGATTCTTCAGATATTGAGGCTTGGAGGTAAGTTTACAGGCGTACATTTATTTATTTATTTATTTATTTATTTACTTATTTATTTAATAGAGATAAAACAAGTAAGGAAGAAATCTGTTTGTTGTGTTTCAGAGGAGTTTGCTTTTCAATATGTGCTGCGCCATGAAGTAGCCTGTAATCGCACGTTTTCCTCTTTTCCCTTCCAAATTTCATTTCAAATTCCATCTGCACTGTTGGGTTTCCCAACCATACGTCTCCGTTTTCAGTCAAAAGACATTTCGGGTTCAGCGACCTTACCGAGAGATCTTTGAGTTTCTGCCTTATTCGCTGTTCAGTGAGTCGAAATTACTATCTCAGCGTTTATCTGGTGCTGCGGAGAGTGTACGGTTAGATGATTTCTACGACAACTATGTAAGAGATATTTCAATGGCTGACAGTACACAAAGAAAATTGACGGACATTATATTACTCATACATTCTTAGCCTACTCTAAAGTATGATTCCTAAATCTTGGTGTTATTAATATCTTGTACACGAGAGAAACCAGTAGGTCTTTTAAACATTGCAAGAGTTGCGACGGACGTACGGAAATTAGAAAACATGTTTTAAATTGATGATCAAAACTAGGTTAGGACCAATGCCGTTTAACAGCGTTCCTGCATAGTGAGAATATCAAATTCTTACAAACCAATTTGCTCATAAATGATTATTCCGTGCATCTGGATGGGTAACTCTGGGTCAGCTAATCAAACTCGCAGTGTAATTGGACGGTCCACCTAATGGTTTCTTTGTTGAAGGAAAGAATACATCAGAAATGAAATACAAAAATCTCACTCACCTTTCTCGTCATCCTCGTATGGTTTTTCCCCTTCTACGTTACCTCTGTATTGATTAAAACATACAATAAGATGTCATTTGTACGAAATGTGGGCGCAGGATGGCTCAAATATGAGTAACTATCTGAATCATACTTACCGTGGGTGATATTGGCAAACCGTGAAATAAATATTCTGCTTCCATGCTTGTCCCGTCCAAAAACGATGACAGAAGTGCCTGTGACATCCAACCTCTCTTGTTTTTGACCAAATTAGCTGCATAATAAAAATATATGGAGTATTAAAGAGTGGTTTGGCTTGGTAGTTTGCGAATTGGTGATAATTCACTAATTTCTTACCTGTGTGTATCCTTCGAAATGAGAAGAGCCCACCGTACTAAACGGACCGTACTTGTAGTGAGTATGTTGATCAAACCAAGCCTTGACGGCACTGTGAGAGAATGCAGGTAACCGTTTGTAAGAAACGAAACATGAAAAGTAAAAAAATTGCAACAAACATTATAAGATATCCATTAATTAAATGGGCTGGCACCTCTCGCTACTGGACTGGGTGGATGACTGCTCAAACGAGAATGAGTCAGGTACATATACACATTGTTCACAATTTTCTACTATATATTTGAGAGGTAGCCACTAATCGATATTTTTTAATCAATCAGTTTCCTTGTCACGTGACCTGGGACAATCCGGCAAAGTAGTTTGTTGCGTAAAAGTGGTGACTATGGTTGATCACAAATATCAGTTCACATCAGTTCACCGAGGAGAAAAACGGAAATTCTTCTATTTCCACTTCGTGAAAATAGTTTTTTACCACTCATTTTCAATATAGAAGGGGTTTAAACCATTTTCCTTTTACTAGCGCGTGCAACAAAACGTCGTCTAATTAAATTCAGTGGTTTTGCTTCCACTCTCGTTGGAAAGCTGGACACAAAACTCAGTAAATGTGGTCGACTTTATCTTTTAACAGCTTGATTCTTCAGTTTTTTCGCAAGCAAACCTAGTCAGGTGACCTAAAGACGACCCTATTTTGTTTAGAAAGTTTTTCAAAAGTGCCCTTGGGTTATTCACCGTAGACGTGAATAGCCGACCTTATGGTTAGTTGAGTATTTCCCCAGAGGCTTACATCATTTAACTAATTTGAATGAAGGCTCCACAAGTTGTGGACGTTCGTATCAAATGATGTCATTCAAATGATTTTGCCCAAGATAACAACCTAAGTATCCTGACACCTACCTTTCATGCGTCTTACCATCCACATAATCTCAGGGCAATCAATGAAACCCTTCGCCATGAGGTCATTAGGACTTGCAAGTCGAAACTAGAAAGATTATTTCCCAGTCATGTCATCAGAAACGAAAATTCGGACACAACCACTCTGATGTGGGATTATATTTTCAATATTTCAAGTTAGTCATGCCCAAGGTGAGAAGGAATAGTGAATTGGCACGTACCTGAACTAAACCCCATCTGTACAGACATTGCACCCCTAACAGGGTTAGAAGTGTCTTCCTGGTGCGAGATTTAACGCAGTAGGACCGTCAATGTCTTGCTTTGTTCGATTGCAAGTATTGTAAGTAACGCGGCTCAGCATACCATCAAAATTTGCCTTTGCACATCAGCTTGCAGAAAATATTTTCTGGTGGTACACGGCTAGGTACTTCTTGCGTACGTCCTATGAATACATGGTCTGCGTGGAGCTTCGGACAAAATTTTGTCCTCAAGAGTTTGCACCTTGTTCATAACAACGTACCTGTAATTCGTCGGACTTCTACGAGCTTTCACTTCTGTAGATGATTACACCACATCTGTAATTGTATCGACACAACGTGACTGCGCTTCGCATGCGGAATCACTTGTTTTGTTGTTGTATTTGGTCGTTCAATGTCCTGTCACTGTTTCAAATGCTATGTTTGCAATTATTTTACCCACCTGGATCCTCACTCTTGTATTGTGACAGCCATGGGTGCCTTATCTGCTCCCTTGCAATCACGTGATCCAACTAGCATTTGTTGTTGCTCAGCTGAAATGGACGCTATTCAGTAAACTGACTTTTATAGGCTCGTAGGAATTCGCCCACCTTCCGCATTTCAGGCGGTAAATTTGTCAGTGCGAAAACAAACGGATATGTTTAGCTCGTAGGGTTTGGTGGGTTTTAAAAATACAGTGAAGCTTTCCTGATCAACGGTATATTCAAAAAGAAAATTAAGATATACCAGAAAGCTTTTGATCGTCAGACGATGATAGTGGAATCTCTTTTGTTTTAGTTCAGCCTGAAGCGAGAATTCTTTTTGTGAATTTCACTGCATCACACCTTTGGATTTGCCCGATATCGATCAGCTGTCACAGACAAGAATGTTTTGGGTAGAATTCCATTGAGAATACATTAGTTCCACAGAGATTTTCCCACTGTATTGGGAAACGTTCCCTGTAGATATTTCAATTGAGACGTTCATCCCGCAAAATACTTATTCAGTGAAGACATGCGTTGGGAAAGACGATTGTCATTATTTGTATTCGAAAGTGCTACTTTCCAGTGGAAACCCCAATTGTCTCGTCCTGTTTCGTGCCAATTTAGGCTGGAAAAGAAAAAGCGCTTGGAAGGACCGTAGATCGGAATCCCACCAAGAAGGACTATCTCACTTGGAAGCAGTGGAAACTGTCGCCAAATTGGCGTGATCTAACATTGGAAATTAGTATTTCACTGGTAATCAAACTGCTTTATTCAAACAACTTTTAGCACAACGTTGATTAATGAAAAATCAGGTAGATTCAGGTAGCCTATTCAGATCGCTAACAAATGATATTTACGATCAAAACTTGCGCAATTGGGATACACCGCGCACTTGGCAGTAACGTGGTTTGGACCTAAACTTGGGACATCAGTTGGGTAAACAACCTGGTGTCTGCCAGTCTGCAATCTAATGTTTAAGCATCAAGTTCACACTATAGAATTTCAGTGAAGTAATCAAGCAGAGTGAATGACTAGATGTTCCTGTTTTTAAAAGAGTACGCAAGGCATCTCCGTACGCGACTCAGCGTTAAATAGCCAGCTTGCGTGATTACATGACTGGTACGTAAGTATCTCAAGAAAAGACACGCAATATAATGCACTGGTTTTACTAATCAACTGACTATATAAACGTTTTTGAGGAAATTACAGTAGCGAGGTAAAGAGACTCCTTCTTGGGTATCCATGATTTTTAAAATAAACTTTTGGACGGGCGTAATGAACATTTTACCAAGTGGTCTTCTCCATACCAACTTTGCGTATGGTGTTTCTTCGAAAATTGTGTTGGGAGGTCGACTCTCCTATCATTAGCGCGACCCATCTGAACACTATACAACGCTGTAAATAACCGTTCATCGAACAGCCTCAGTATGCACGGAACTTTCTGTGCAGCCGAGCACCCCAGATGTGGTGAAAATGAACCAATATTACTCACATTTTGAACAAAATGACGAGTAATCTGGTATGAAACTCAACCCAGTCTCTTACAACGCAAACTCTGAATTTGCTTAATATTAAAAAACCAGCAGCGAGAGTTTAATCTGCAGTAGGAATTACGGGGTACGTGGGATAAAATTCCATTCGTACTAGAGAACTGAACTTAGGTTAAGGTTAATATGGGCTTTCAAAATTGTCGCCTAGTTAACTAAAACACATTACTGAATGATTGGCTACTGTCACTCACTCGTAATTATGTTCTGGAGAAGCGGCCTTGTTTACGTTTGTTGTGGGGTGTCCTGTAATTTCAAAATTGCATTCCTCTGCCGAACGTTGAGCCAATAGAGCAAGTGCCGCATTCCATTTCTACAAAGATTAGAAGTACACAAACAGAGTCGAAATGAAGCAAAGGCGAATTTCAGCCGAATAACATTCATTGAAAGAATTCGTTGGGCCAGCGGACTGATCAGCTTGAATCTTCAATGTGAGTGAGCACCCGATGAGCTCGGTGCTTACTTCACCGTCACCAGTAGCCATTTAAAACGTACAGTGGATGTAGGGAGCAGGAATGTCAGCAGAAGCAACTATCACATCAAGGTTTAAGCTAGACTAGATTTGCAAATCGGCCTCCGGCCCGAATCATTCATACTTAGCCTTGACAGAGATTAGCTGCCCAGCACGTTATCATGTAGAGGAGCTGAATGATAGGAAATTTATTCTCGTAGTTCTTGTGTAATAACTATGGCGTTTTGCATAATTCAGAGTAGTTGAATTGTAATTCCGTTGCAATGGCTGAACTGAAGACAATTCAATGTTAATGATGAGCATTTCGATATGGAATAATACGATGCTTGCCGGCTCGAATGAGGCCGACAACCCAGCAGAGGCGAGCGCAATATACAAAAGCATGAAGTTACAGTAATAGGCGTACGCATATCGGTAGATTTATGTTGGATACCACACACCCAAAGGATACCTAGGTAATTCCGCAAAAAGCAAGCGTTAAGAAAATTGCTTGCGCCTTGAACAAATCCTTCAGTTTTGCCCCAGTTTTTCTCACCAATTAGCCGCCATGCATCCCAAATTGCATAGCTTGAGCCAGTTGGCGGGTTCAGTGGACGGCATCCGATGTGAATCAACTACCTGGTTTGGCCATAAATTGGCAACTGCCTTCCGGAATCCGTCTTTTGCAAACCGCTTTCTCCTTGCCATATGCGAAGGATAAACAGCGGTGTTCACTGGCTTTACATAAGAAAGACGGTTGTACACTAAATGTGCTCCAAATTAAACTAGTCCACTTGTGACAATATGCGCCAATATGTTTTTCGAAACACATAAGGGTCAATGCCAAATCAGTGTCTTAAGGCAATCGGAAACGACTTTAACTCCCAGAAACTTTGGGACACTGTGGATCTCCCACCAGCGGTGATCAACTTGTTTCTCAGTCGATAAAAAGCAGTCACCCTTTTGAGAAATCCTGTAGGGAACGGACTTCTTTCCTAAATGGTCTGCAGTAATTCTCTACTAAATTCTAATTCGGGCAACCCGAGTACTTGAAAGGTAAACACCGGAGAGAGAAAAGAATCCAGCTCAAATTCGTTTGACCTTCACTGGTCTGGGATTTTTATCATTCCCGGTGTGAAAATAATGAAAAAATCTTATCCAAGGTGCAGAATTGAGCGTAGACAACCATCAGCGGTCGGCAAACACGTTTCTATCGATATCACCCACGTAAATTAGGATCAGAATTTTAAATCTTTGAGCAGGGTTTTCTTCAAAAGCTCCGCACGAAACTGAGTACTCACCATCTTGTACATGAACGTGGCTTGAGGCTGTTCACGCACTTTTCCGTCAAGCACCAGTCTGCGGTACTTGTTATGATCTTCCAAATACCGTTCGTAATTTTGAGGTGGATCTGTAATGTGCATAGAGGGTTGTAATTTTATCTCACACAGAGTTCAACTGAAACGCCACCAACATGAGTGAGGCTAAGTTCAATCTGGGAGGTAGATGACGATTATTCCCAGGTAGAACTGAGCCCTTTTGCTACAGCTCCGTCAGTGGATGAAAAACTACGTACTTTGTTCATAAACGGAACTGTAGGGATTTAATCAACTGATAACTGTATGGCTTCTTGCTTTGGCTAATAGGTTTTACATCAAGATTCTATCTTGCAAGTGCAGGCAGCCCATGCGGGTGGATCGAATCAAGACTGTTTGCTTCATGTTAGTAGCTGCCATCGTTATGAGCGAGGTTAATCTCACAAGCATCTATCGAAAACAGGACCTGAGTGCATTATCAGTTATAAGTAGGATATATAATTAGAATTCTATGTAACTTGCACCTTGACGGCCTAAAATGGACCCCATCTGGCAATTATACAGCTCACGTTAAGTGATGTATTACTCACCGGCCTGAACATGACTGGCATTAGAAGGCTCATCTAGCTGTCATGGACGGTTTCCAAGGAGACTACTAATATTTGGCAATCTGAATGGACTTCTTAACTTTTAAAATGTTTGGTCATGTGGAATTCATTGAAAACATAATAAAAAATTTTGAAATTCAACGATGGTTCAACCTAAACGTGCTCACAGTGAACAAATACAACAAAACAAATAAACGAAATGGCTATTCAAATACCATAGTTATTCCTATCAATGTGTTCTCATCACTACACAGGCAAAAATAAATTTCTAAATAACTTGAGAGGTAGTTATTTGGTATTGCAATAATATTGTGAGAACAGTGGTGTTAAGTGAATTTTTGTCCTACAAATGGAGATGTCATATCAGGATATGATCGACGACTTTCCGGAAACAATGCTGTTAAGAAGGGCTGAGATATAATTTTGTAAACGATAATTTGAAAATACGGAATACAAAATTTGATACGGGTCTCTAATTTTCAGCACCTAAATGAGCCTTGCTAATGACAACAGTCTGGCGCTTTCCGGGGGGCTAGAAAGCTGAAACTGGGTATGTATCTGACTGGTTCTCAGGTGTTCGGATCGAATACTCATGGATCACAAAGGAGACGCTCTTTACCAAACCAGTACCCTTTCCTCCGATGCGCTTATTCATCTACTTGGTTAGCGACTTTACTATCTGCCATTCATTCAATTTGCCAAAAAACTCAGGTGGGCTATTCAACGCTGATGTGCGTGCAGAATGAACCAATAATTGGAATAAACCGCCCTTAGTGAGTCCTCACATGCGCTGTGTTTAGAAAGGATCATTTCAAAACAATTCAGAAGCAGCCTTGACAATTCGCTGAGCATGACCGGCCGAAGTCTTCCATAGAACTGCCCCCATGAAATTTGTTCAGCTATCACAGAACGTTCAATCCAGAGTGTTGATAGATCGCCGGATTTTGTCGCAATTTGTCACACCACTACGATGTGATCCTACTTTTCGTTAGACAATGAAGCGAATGTTTTCCAGTTCCTTACGCTCACAATAAGTTATAAATATTGGGATATAGGTTCCATTGCGTGAAATCAAATTGCAGCAGGCACAAGAGATGACGATGCAATTCTACAAACATACCCGTATATGATGCCACCTTGCGACCATACAGCGATTCTGTGGTGAAACAGATACCCAGAAATTATTGTAAATGTGAAATAACAATGACTGGTTTTGCAAGCCGTTGAGAACCACTGTGGCCACGTAAGCTGTAGCCACACTACCACGAAGATATTGTAATAACTGTTGAGTTCTGTGTTTTACGACATTCTGCTATCACAGTCTTGTTACATTCCAAGAGGAAATTCATTGTCAACCAGTAAACCGACAAAGACTAAAGTCGCTTACTTGGCAGCACAAGCGAGTCTTCTACTGTAGCTTATTACTGTAGAATAGTTTAGGGGATAGTGTATCTAGTCTAGCTAAATAATACCGTTACGTACCTCAAATGCCAGCGTTTTATTTTTGGTTCATTTAAAACACCTATGATAACCGACAAGTCTGACGTGCAAACACGAAAAGTTATAAGATGGAAACCGGTGAGATAGCCCGATCGTTGATCCACATGAAGAATAACCGCAAGTCTTCAGAATTGGATTTAATTGACTGTTATCCTCTAGTCAGGATGAGACTTATGTGTTACAAAACGATATCCATCACATTCCACAAAAATACTCACACGACCGTGGAGCACAACAGTTGATCATCTGATGGACAAGTGACACATTGTTCCTTCACAAAACCTGCGCAACATAACAGTAAATACGTTTTTGTTTCCTTAAATACCAAAACGTGCGATCAAGTGACTGACAAAAGTGGCGGAGTGAATTTCAAGTTCATCCTGTTGATGACCGTGGATTATGTATTTGCGCGTAAGATTTGGTGTCTTTCAGTGGTGAATCGATCTCCGAAACTGAGAAAAACTATCTGTGAACGAAGACACAAATAATTAAAGGCTGCCTGTACATAAGAATCGATGGATTACTCACAACCTCTTCTAGTTTATCAAAGAAACGGTCAGTCTATTTCTGCTATGTGGTAACGTCCTTGTGTGCAGTAAAACCCTATATTGCTTACTCCAGCCTCTAAGCACACTGAAATGACTGTCATAACTTGACTGGTCACAGCAATTCTTCAAGGTGAGCCTCAAGCTGGGAGACACTTTTCTGGGTTCGCTGCTCCTACCTCTTGTGGTTCGGATCATTTTGCCTCTTTTGGAAACCACCTACGTCAACTGGACGTTGAGGTATAATAAAACTCTGATCTCGATATAATCTGTCCGATAAAATATATTCAGCTGGTGATAGGTGGGGATGTGTTCAAATGCAGTGGTTGAGGCTTCATCCGCTCACTGGGGTCAATCTTTACTGAAAAGCCGAGAATCACTGTACGGCCCTTGCATCCCTGTTGGAAATCATAAGCCGGAATTTTCGAACCGACGACCGTCCGGCCAATGATTGAACACTTAACGGTTTGGGCGAGAGTGGCTGAGCGGCAGTGGGACTAGCTCTCTATTCTATAAAACTGCAGATACTAGTTCTCTGTTTGTCGGACTGTGATCGAGCAGGCGTTTAAATATTGTGCCTTCAGCTAAACTTCAGTCTGCTGATAAATGTATCCACCAGCATTGTGGGAAAATAGTGAAGGCAGGCTACAGTTCAGGGAATATTAATTCTTTCAAAGCAATCTTGAGGAGATATTTGCCAACATCACAACATAACGATTCACAGCAAAAGGGACATGCTGCATGGAACGTGTTGTGGCATATTAAAGTCGCAACCTGCTGCATGGTACACCGCTTCTCCTTCTGTTCTTTTTGCTGGACGTCGACATTCGAAGCCGACATTTTTCACACGGTCGCCTGACGCTTATGCGTTTTGCTACGTGTTCGATTAACAAAATGGTTGAATCGTTGATCTTGTAGCCTGTTCGGCCCATCGTCGGGATGGAAGCACCTATCTGACAGCATGTTTTATCGTGTAAATTGGTGGGATTGATCATCAGAGCAGAGTTGATCGTGGACATGAAAGGGATGGAAACAAACACTTGAACGAATGCAGAGTGTTTGTCGGCAAATTGTTTGAACCAAACACCAGAAATGACTCCGTAGCTTATTCTTACGAGTTCCATAACAGCATATCGACCAGATCAACGCAGGTTTCCCGAATCTTTTATGGTGAAATGTACATCACATGTGTTCCTTCCAGTTTAACGGTGGTGTTGAACAACCTACGAGTATTTGATAAAAACAGACAACTGCATAATGCAATTCGCAGCGGAAAACAATTGTAAGAAGCCTGACTTTTTAGCGAAATTCAATATAAACAGTGTGTTGCTTGCTTGACAGAGATATCTCATATTTTTAGTCGTTTTCGCCAAAAATAATAAATTGACTCGACTGTGTTTCCTTGCTGATGCACAATGCCATTTGAGATGAAGTTTATGAGTGAACATTTTGCAACATTGCAACGATAAGAATGACGTGACACCCGCGTCAACATAATGCTCAGACCTGTTCTTGCGAACAAAGTTCTATTTCATGGGGAATAAATGTTGGAGCAGACCCTCAATTCAACGGATACTTGGAAGTCGTTTAGTGACTGGTGGGGTGTATTGAAGAATTGGAAAACACTAGTCCGGCGAGAAGGAAATAAACCCTGTTGTGACGTGTGTCTGGAGGCCAGAAAAACTGTCCCGTTGCGATTACAACTTTCTATTTATATGATTCACTTGTGACCGTATTTGATGGTATCTCAACCAACCAGTGTGTCTCCTGCACGGCCACGCCGGTTCTCGGGCGGTTGTTCCTTTGTCTCGGTTGATCATAGATGGCCGTCTGTACGCTTGTGTACGGGGTGCCTTGGCCATGGATTGGGCGTGAACTTCCTGTGTCCCTTTTTGAACTTTCTCCGGTACATGATAAAATCTGACGTGATTCAGACGTGGGGGCATAATCGCACGGCTCTGTTTCACATGATTGTTCCGCTGCGCAGTAGGTTGATGCGCGGCCGTATTAACGTCATGCGATGAAATTCTGCCTGACCAACAACCTTCCTAACTCCCAGTTTGACAGTCTGATTTTCATGTCGACTCTCCATACTAATACTACAGTGAGAAGTATTCGGTGGTATTTGATATTCGCTGCGTGCCTTATTGGAAGTGACTAGGTTTTCACCATTTTATACTCCTAGCAAGTATGCAGATGAGCTTTGTGTCAGCCTTGCAGAAATACACACAGAAAAGTTGTCAGACTAAGACAGAGTCGTATGCTTAGACATGGAAATTTTTTACAGTCAAGCCGCCTCAGTGCCCAACTCTGAGATGAAGCGGAGATATTAAGTGGAGCTGCGTAGCGGATCGGTAATGTCCCCAATGGTGCCTCTAAGAAACGCTTCGGAAGTCCGCGACATAGCTCACCAAGATTGAAAAAAAGCGATTCTTAGGAATT